GGTGGGTGGGAAATTAAAGGAAGGGTGCACCAAGTTTGACCAACAGCTAACTCCACTGGTATTCCCCATCCCCAAGCTTCGGATTAAAGAAAAAAAAAAAAAAAAAAAAAAAAAAAAAAAAAAAAAAAAAAAAAAAAAAAAAAAAACCAAAAAAAAAAAAAGCCTCAAAAAAAAAAAAAAAAAAAAAAAAAAAATCAAAAGAGCAGTAAAGAAAAGAATAGAAAAGGACATTCTTTGGATATAATTATTTGGATATAATTATGTACAGCGTAGTAGCTCACGAGCTAAGCTCTCCTCGGCCCCCCTAAAAAAACACACACAAAAAAGGGGAAAAAAAGAGAATAATAAGTGTTTTGCACCTTACTAGATTACCCACTGCCCGACAACCAACTGCCCCCAATCAAAGTGGACTGCCCACTGCCCACTGCCGGCGCCCCCTTTTTTATTAATCCCCTACACGCTGCTGTGTATGGCCTATTGCCCCCACTTCCCCCACAACCAACCAATTGCCCACTACCATCTTCACCCCAATAGTACCCCCTGTCATTATAGCTGTACTTAGACTTAAAATTGTGCAGAATACAGTTGTGATGACCCTGTGGTCTATCTGGTCAACGACGATATTGACTTCCCTCTAGGCACTGCCACTGCCATTGTCACTGCCCACTGGTCTCTGTGTCTGTTTTTTTTGGGGGGGGGGTGGGGGAAAGCCTAGGTTTTTTTTCCGGCACTGGGCTCAAGATTATGCCCACTGCCTGTACCCACTTGTTCCAAGCATCATTCCTTTTTCTTTTTTTTTTCCCCCCCAAGGACAATTCCAATTCCCACTAGAAGTTAAAGAACAGCTCTCTCTGGATACCCCTGATCGGTATTAGCAGGGTCTATGACCAACATGGGTCACCTGTGAGTGCAAGCGCGAGTGGGTTGTGTGTGGTGTGTGGGACAGTGTTGGCCATAGCCTCTGCTGCTACTCTACGAGGGGTGGGGGACGATGAGAAAGGGAGGCGCAGCTATTGGCAAAATGCTTGGTCTTTGCATTAGCGGGACCCCCACCGGCAGCGCCACCCCATCTCTGACTAGCGCTGTTGGGGCTGGGGGCAACATGATTTACCTTGTTTGCGAGGGCCCCTATGCTTGCAGGGGTCCCCTCTATACATAGTCTTAGGAGTAGTGGCCGGAAGGTTGTCAAAGCCAAAAACAATAGTGTCGTTGGGAAAAAAAAAAAAAAAAGCTCTCCTATTTTTACTTTTCTTTTTTTTTAATAGTAGAAAAACTATTGTTAGTAACTTGGTATGTACTGTTCAAGGGAAAAAAAAAAAACAAAGAGTGGGAGTGCTCTGACCAGTATGTAAAAGGGGAAAAAACAAAAGGTAGTTAAATTACAAGTGGCCTGCATATTTGCATGACAGAGCCTGCCTGCTGTGTGTGATCTATAAAATGCTTTTTCGTTTTACAAATAATAATAATAATAATAATAATAATAATAATAAAATCAAGGAATGAGGGGATGGGTTTGACTGGCAGTGCCCTGCCCAGTGCCATATGACTGCGGATGTCATGTGAGGGATGCTGTTTCGGGGGTTATAATGCATTTCCTTTGTTTTCAGATAAAGAAAAAGAAAAAGAAAAAAACGCAAGGAATGACAGTAACTACCATTGACTATGCATTCAAAATTTTATCTTGTTGCATAGGGAATCTGTCTCCCAGGGAGCAGTGGCTGAGGCTTTTCCAGCCCTAATAGGAAGAGACTGTGGGTTCGCGCTGTATTAAAAAAACACAGCCAACACATCAGTTGTTTAAAAGTAGAGGAAACTACGCCTGAGTCGCAAAAATGAGTTATAATTGCACTATTGGCCAAGATACAGTTCAAATTCCAGTTCGGACAATGTATACAACCCAGCTTTCTGGCCAGGTAGGGTGCCCGAAGGGCAATTGCAAACTGTATCATGCCCCACAGAGCAATTATAACTGGTTTTTGTGACTCGACTGAAGTCAATTCTTGAAGTACTAGTAGGAAGGGAGAGATCCCACTAGCGAAGAGGAGGGTTGGATTGAAAACCTGAATCGGGACGTGTTTGTGGAAAGGGTCAGAACATTGCGATTGATCTTCTTTTCCACATCTCCACAGCAAACGCATCCAGATTCAGGTTCTTAACCCAATCATCTTTGCTAGCGGGATCTCGCCCTGACTACGGTCATGCATGACAACTTAAAGAGTGAGCCTGAGTGACCAAAAAGCATGCCATTGTGCCTACCTTCTTCCCCCGAACATAACACACCCTAAAAATGAATGTATACAACCTATATTTCCGGCCAGGGGGAAGACGGTAGGATCAGGGTCTCTCATGGGTATGTCCTCAACTGTACGGACTCGCCATGGAAAGGATGGGTTAAAAGGGGGATCCTGAGAATTAAAGAAATACGGAATCCGGAGAGAAATGACTGGCTCTCTGCTTCAGAGTTGCAAGGACACCTAAATTCCTGATCAACAGCTGAGACGCTATTAAGGGGCTCGTTCAGGGATGGACTAAAAGAATATTTAGATTTAGTTAGAGGAAAATCTGTATTTTTTATGGGAGATAATTTGTTAGAAATTTCTTTAGCTCGATTTTTAATTCGTTGTGGTATGATAGTATATGAAATAGGTATACCATATATGGATAAACGTTATCAAGCAGCCGAATTAATGTTGCTTCAAAACTCCTCGGGCGAGTAAAGTCCCCGAGGAATTGTTCATTCCACCTATCCTCTGGGATGCAGTCGGCAAAAAAGAAGTGAAAACGCTCCGAAGGAAATTCCTTGGGCTCCGAGGATTCCCCAACCATTTCT